AGCTCTGGCAATTGTCGGTTACAGACCATTACTGACCCGACGTCGGTCGAAGATGGATGCATGCAAGAAAATAGGGCCCGGTATCAACAAACCCAGACCCCGCACTCCACTCCTCCCATGTCTGAGCGTCTCTACACTATGTTCACGGGCCCCAACGCCGACAACAACCAACAACTTCTTCTGGAGGGCAAACTCCCCATCCCTGGTGGCTTGGCTTACCCTACCCAAGCCTTCCTTCGCCACTGTCGACTGCACGACAGTTATCGGCCTCGTCCTTTCCCCTTGACAGTTGAAGAGCACGTGGACTTTTGGAGTTGCACCCCTGAGAACAAGGGTTCTGAGCCCCACGGCCTCCATAATTGCCACTTCAAGGCAGGCGCCCTTTTGGAACTGTTGGCTTCTTGTGATACGGCGTTTCGGGACCTTCCACTCTGTTCAGGCCATGTTCCGGAACTCTGGAAAAACCTGATGAAGTTTGCGATTGAGAAGAAGCCTTGCGACTTCCGCCCACAAGGGATGCGGACCTTCCAGCTGTTCAACTCGGAGGCTCAGGCCAACTACAAGAAGGCGGGTCGGGCTGCAATGAAGAATGCTGAGGAGGATGACATCATCCCTAAAGGACAGTGTGGGTCACGAAATTGGTGCGTGGACGTTGCAAGAGTGTCAAACATCATGCGCAATGCATTCCAAGTAATTGCCAGACGCATCATAGCTAACACTGCAACCCAATGGACGACCTGATCAAAACACGACTTTGCATCATTTGAAATCCAACCTGCAGAGCGGCGCTGGAGAATCAGAAGGTTTCCACACAAGGCGTTTAGACAGGGCACGATTGATCGCTTGATGGTGTTTTCTAGACCCGCACTGTCCATCGGCCAAGAGGTGATGTTCTTCGCTGTAGGCCATGGCCAGGCGGCCCAGTTTCTTGTAGTTTGCTTGGGATTCAGAATTCATGAGCTGAATTGTACGCATTTTTGTCAACCAAAAATTGCCCGGCTTCTTTTCAATGGCAAAATTCATCAGATGCCGCCAGTTGTCAGGGACAAACCCAGTTGTCAAGGGTATGTGGCGGAAGAGAGCGTCGCATTGAGCCACCATAGGGGAATAAATCCCAGCCTTGAAATGACCGTTATGTAGCCCATGCGGTTCTGAGCCCTTATTCTCTGGATTACGAGACCAGAAGTAAGTATGATCATCAGGCGACACTTCCATCAGGATCATAGAGTGCCCTTGATGGAAACGGCACTGCTCCAGGAATGACTGAGTGTAAGAATCAATCCCATCCGGCAGGGGAAGGCGGCCCTTCAGAAGTGCATAGGAGTTCCTCTCTGCTTCTGCCCCTGTGAACATTGGATACAAGGGTTCTTCCATGGGAGGAGTCTTATAGGGCGATCGAGTCTGATCATACCTTGTGCGATTTTCCTGCATGCACCCTTGCTCAACTTGTCTCCGGTCGGTGAGAGTTCGCAGATCCACTTGTCCGGTAGGTAACTGCTCCTCAACTTTAATAGCTTGCAAACCACCGGTCGATCCTTTTGACTGGGCGCAGCGGCGGCGTCTCGCCTCCTCTCGTTGCTTCATCCGCCGTAACCTCAAAAAGCGATCCCTAGCCTTGCGCGATGTCCATTGTTTCTTCTTAGATTTCTTCACTTGAACAGTCAAGAGCTCCTTGCGCCATGAAATCTGAGAGCATCGCTGGAAGAATACGGATTCGTGTTTAATGTATACAATCCGTGCATTGCAAATATGATGGTCAAGAAAAAGCAATTGACTATCAGGTTTCATGTTGATGATGTGCTAGCAAGCCACATGGAACAAATAGTTTTCGAGGATTTCTTTGCATGGATAAATGAGAGATACAGAGGACTAAAGGAAGTGACTTGCACACGGGGACAAGTTCACACCTATCTGGGAATGACATTGGATTATTCAAAGAAAGGAAAGTTGAAGATTCGAATGGACGATTATGTCCAAAGAATGCTCGACAAGTTTTCTGTCAAGTGTAAAGAAGATGACAAACAGGAAACACCTGCTGGCAATAATTTGCTGGAGGTAGGAAAAGGAAAACTATTGGATAAGGATCAACAGGCCGAGATTCACAGGTTTGTTGCAAAACATTTGTTTTTGACCAAACGCGCGCGTCTGGACATGCATCTGACGGTGGCAATTTTGGCATCACGAGTTCAAAATCCAAATCAGAGTGATTGGCATAAACTCGTGAGACTTATGAGATACATGCACTCTACCAAGAAATGGCATCTCACGCTGAGCGTTGACAACCTTCGTGTAATGAAGTGGTATGTCGATGCGTCTTTTGCGGTTCACCCTGACTTTAAGAGTCACACAGGAGGAGTGATGACCATGGGTAGTGGAGCTATGCAGGCTATGTCCAAGAAACAGAAGCTAGACAGCCGCAGCAGTACACATGCGGAACTAATCGGAGTAGATGATGCAATCACACAAGTGTTGTGGACACGCATGTTCATGGAAGAACAGGGTTATCCAATTGAGAAGAGTATCTTGTACCAAGACAATATGAGCTCTATTCTCCTCAAAAAGAACGGGAGATCAAGTGCAGGAAAGAGAAGCCGCGCATTGAAAATCCGCTATTTCTTTGTCACTGATCAGGTTGAGAAAGGAAATCTTACGATCAAACACATGCCAACCGATGACATGTGGGGGGATTATATGATGATACCTTTGCAAGGGGAAAAGTTCCGCAAATTTTGGGCATTGATCCAAGGGGATCAGGAAGATTAGATATGACCGTCTTGGGTTATATATACACGTTACATATTAAATGAAGAAAGGATTCGTTATTGCAACTGGAGTTGTTGAAACGACAGGAGTGTGTTGGTGAAATGGGATCTTAATAGATAAAAGAACAGTTGAACATGTCTGACAGTGAAGTCGGACATTTGTGATATCGAACACGGACAAGAGTACGGTTCGAGTACATACAGAGATGAATAAGTATTGAAGGTAGATCTACTCTGTGACTAGTTTGTGAAGAACATGTGCGTATGTGCTTTATATGCCGCGACAGCTGGTGAGAGCTGACGCAGATGGCTTCCGGAAGAGATTTTTTGTACCTGCTTGTGGAGATCATTGTTGATTGGCTTCTGGCAAGAATAGCAGTAGAATAAGATCTAATGGGAAGTGGTGAGACTGTTCATCCACAGGTTGAAGCCCGGCATCACTGGCACCTGTTCCTATTGTAGGCAATCCATAGCCGACGTAGATTCGAGCTCAGTATACTCCAGAGGTAGCTAGAACGTTGAGGCTCTCATTACAGCTACGGAGTTGATTATCTGACAGCAGCTGTTCAACTCCTGGTGAAGTATCGAGGGTCAGAATGGATCACCATCTGGTGTCAGACCCCGGGTTTGCCCCAGGATCAGAGCCCATACCACAGTGAACTCATCGGTCTGATGGCCGAAAAAACAAAAATACAAAAACAACACACATATCCGGGTCCTCAAAACATCACTTTCGGTACTTTGCCTACACGAATTTTCTGTAGCAAAACGAAACTCGCTCCTCCCTTTTGCATCAAAACTGACAATGGGAAAGTCGAAGAACAACAAGAAAGTGGCAATCGCTGCTAAACCTGTTAATTCTACTGCTCTTACTCAGGGTTGCATCAGTTTTTCGCAAAAAAGCCGAGCCGAAACCGCCGAAATTCGATTGAAAAAGGAATCCGACGATTTGGACCCCCCAATCGTCAACAACAACAGCGACACCACCAAGATGGAAGAGGTCGAGTATCCACTGAAGTACAATCGCATTGTCCAGAACATCGATTCATCTCAGTGGAACCTGCAAACCCTTGCCTATTTATGCACAATCCACCATGCTCGTGGTCAATGCAACAATAAAAAAGAAGTGGTCTTCGGAAACGAGCTGTTCTTGGCATGGGAGAACGAGCCCAATTTCCACTGGCCTTGGTGCGAAGGGTATTCTGAAAATTGCGTAGACCCTCCGGAGACTGAATCCTGGGAGGCGGCTGCCGACAAGCTACTACAGATTTGTGATGGGGACTGGAACTTGGTCGAGCAACGCATTTGAGCTGCGCTTGACCAAGACATCAAGGACAAATTTACTGGGAACGATCGTGAGCTAGTGGTATATGTACAAGGATTAATTCTTGGTCTGGCAGTCCAGGATCCTTTGGTGATTTTCCTTTGGACAAAAAGTTGGAGGACACTACGTTTTTTAATTGGTATTGGGATTTTACCTCAGAGGTTGAGCCCTGTTTACTATTGGAAATTACGCTCTCTGGCCAAAGTATGGGCCATTGCGGTTGAACTTCTAGGGCACCCATGGACCGACCCCGAAACGACAACGGTGGTAACGGAATTATCTGAGCGTCGCTCAGCCGCCAAGGGCAGAAAACGTGAGCGCAATCAGGACCCATCAACTGCAAGGAAACCGGCTCCTATTGACCCTCGCTCTCCTGTGCGAGGGTTCTTTCCGGAGGCCACCCCAAAACCAGTTCGCGACTTTATTGATTCTGATAAGGAGGATGCAGTGATGGAGGACACAACAGGTCCATCGGTAATCAGCCCCACCAATAAACCAGTCAACGGCAAGTTTGCTTATTGGTCTGACAATGATGGGTTGGAGTCCATTGAGTCGGCTCGCGACTTTCTGGCACCATCTCATTCAGATCACGCTCCTACGGAAGTGGTTGTTGGCAATTCACCTGCCCCAGCCCAGCGGGCCAACGATCCCTCTGCAACGGTCCCCTAGTTGGCTCCCACTTGTCAAAGACTGAGCCTCCCAACCCTCCTCGACCTTCAGCTCCTCTGTCCGTGGAGCAGCAACTCACTTATGTTGCCGCCTCACAGAAGAAGGCTGCTATTCGGACCAAGTACCTCTCTGAAGAAATGAAAGCCTGCGAAGTGACACAGATGAATTTGACTGGGCTTCCTCGCTCAAACGCCCAGATCCTCTGCGCTACAATCAACTATGAATGGGATGGCGACACATCTGAGGGTGGTTCTATTGAAAAGTGTTTCATTGAAGAAATGGTCTTGGTTCTGTCTATGGCTATGGACAACGCTGAGGGCGACTTGGTCATCCTTCCGGTGAGCGAACTCCATGTATGGGACAAGAAGTTGTGGCTGACCTCTAAGGAGAAAGTGGAGAGCTCACTTACAAGAAGCCAAGCCCTACATTGACTGGTCCTGGAATAATGGCGCCCGATTTGGCTACAACACTAAGAACCCCGGATCCAAGACTCTTCGCACCCACATTCACGTCGCCCACAACTCTTCTCTGGACGACATGTCCCGACTCCTGGGTCAATGTTTTGAGATCACCGGCACGCATGCAGGCGTCTTCCGTTCCCCGCTGCAAGTTAGTGATCCTGTCCAAATTGGTTGGCTACTGAACTACCCCATAGGGATTGGGAGAGCGGCACTGGAACGCGAGCTCATGCGTCACTTCACCTTCAAGAGAGCTATAGCCCTAGAACCTGCGTGGCCACAGACCCCCACACTTTTTGGATTGCCGCCTCCAGCATAAGAATCATCCTCATTTTATTGATAGGGCTGATGACTGGTTTCCTGAATGGTACACAAAGCTTGTGGCTGGTTTTGAGACCGAGTGTGCTAGGTTTCAATTAAAAAATGGCCCGGAAAGCAATGGTCTTGGAACAACAGATACCATGCCATTGTATCCAGAAACACGGACTAGCTGCAATGATGGCAAAGAAATTGCTGACTATATATCAGCAATCAGTTTGACATCTATCTTGAAAAATATCCTTAAGAGTGGGCATTCTTCAGGTATAAGTGCTGAACTTGGCCCACATCAAAAGCGTGCATTGGTTCTTATGACTTGGTCAGCGGTTGGAAGGGGGGGTGAGGTCAAGTTTCAGAGCTTCAACGAGTGGAACTTTGATACTGGATATGAGGTGTTAGATATTAAATGGACAGAGATAAAAACGCTCAAGAAGTACTCTCTCCTTATGGTTCCAGACACACGATGGCTATTTGACTTCTATCATTGCATTGGCTGCTATTTTGCAATTGAGAATGGACTCTACCGAAGTGAAATTGCAAAAAAGAAAGGACACTTGAATGTTATGTTTCCTGTTCTATATAGCATCATGGACTCCCAAGTGGCAAAAAAGATTGGTCAAATCCTTAAAAATCATCTGCCAAAAGGAACTCCCAAAGAAGTAAAGAACAAAATCTCTGTAAAGTCACTTCGCTGTGGTGGCATCACTTTGCTTTCAAGACACCATGAGATATCAGACCCAAGACTCTGCAGCCGGTCAGGACATTCTAGCGGGAGAAACAGTGATAGCTACTTGGACAGCAGCGACCTTCTGCTAAGGCTCCCTGGAGCTATGGCAATGCATGGATACAAGTCTTTGGATTCCAAGATATCGGTGTACTCACTCAAGATGCTCCCAATGGATGCAGTTAAACGGTTCATTGATGAAATTTTCCATATCTCAGTTCCAGCTTTTCAGCCAAAAGGAAAACTGTATGTAGTGACACGCATTTGTGCTGCTTCCCTGATAGCTCACCATAGGCAAGTCACAGCAGATCTTGGAGCAGGAAACACTATCTCTAAGTTCCTCTTGGCGGCTGCTCGAAAAGCCAAGATAGTAGATGCAAGGTACCCCAATATCAATCCAGAGTTACTACTAGAGAAGTGGTCGGAAGAAGTATTGGAAAGCTATGTAGAGTCCAATGTGGATTTCACAAAATCCTCTCCTAGTGCTGTTGGTACTGCACATGCACTGGATGAGGTGAAGACTATGTTGTCAAAGGTTGTTCGGTCCACAATGTTCCTTGAGGGAGAATTGAAGCAAACGCGACTAGACAACGCATGGAAGACAGCTGAAAACTCAGTTCTGTCAGAGCGACTTGGTCATCTTGAGACACAGCTCAGAGCCTTGCATATAGAGCATCTAAAAACTCAGAAGAAGCTAGCATTCATCAAGACACCTGATCATGATATTGCTGATAAGAAGAGGAAAAATGAAGACTTTGAAATACTAGATTCTTGTGCACCATCCTCGCCAAAGAGACTACATTTTTCAGACATGAGCATGGATGTTTTGGCAGCATTCACTAGTCCATCACACACACACCCTCTTGCACTACCAACAACACCACAACAAACAGCCAAGAGATCTATCACAACATCTATCTCTAGTGGGAACCATTCAGATAAGAAACTTGGAGATGCAGGAGTGACATTGGCAACTTGTATCATGACCCTTCATCAAAACAATCGTTTACTTCTTGACAAAATGTGGAATTCTAGTGGTATCAAGGACTATTTCAAGTATCCTTCCGATTGCAAGTACAGCCTAAATCTGGCCGACTATGTCATTACTCAGCAGCAGAAGGCAGTATTGAAGAGTTCCACCGCCACTCTTCAACAAGTGATGGACACAGCAGACAATACCCCGCTTCTGCCTTCTTCAAAGAATGCAGCATTTGTAGGATGATGGAGAAGTGAGCTTTCAGAAGGCGAAGTGTCCATGGCAATTTGGATTATGTGCTAAGTGTGTCGCAAAAAAGCAGTTGTTGTGTTGTTCGTTGTGTGTTGTGTGTTGTGTACAATGTCCACTACAGTGTGATTTTGTTGTTGTGTGTTGTTGTGCGTTGTTTTGCGTTGTTGTGTGTTGTTGTGTGTTGTTGTGTGTTGTTGTGTGGACAGTGTATGACGTGGGAATTTTTCTCGTGGTCTGTGCACTCTTCACCGTCTGTCCCTCGTCCACTTCCACATACAACGGTCATGCCAACTTTCACGAAAGTTCCCAACTTTCACGGATCCAAAAATACAAAAGTTCGCCGTTTACACCCAAAAACGGGAATTGTATAGGAGCTAACATAGTGTCAATATGCAGCCATCCCGTTTTTTTGTAGTCGCACAAGTCGTATACTCGCATGAACGCAATGCATGTATTGTATGTAATCATTTTTACTAGCGTAGTGCCAGTTGGATTGAAGTTCGTAATGTATGTAAAAATTTGTGCTTGTTTTATTGGCATTCAGGAATAGAGTTCAGTTGAGTCAGTCACCGGTACCGCGTACGGGTGCCAGTACTATTATAACCCACTGAAGCGCGACAATTTGAATACAAAGACAGAAGGATTGGGCAGGGGTTGATCCTCATAAGTCATGATGCTGTCGATACTCTCAAGTTCTGACAATGCCAAATCTATCTAGCCTCTGATGCCCCATGCAGGGATTGGAATGATTATGCACATCTTTGTGATCAAGCAACACGATTGCAATTGACCAGATCACGAGGTTACGATCAAATCAGAACAGCCGAGCTAAATTTACATCAGGCATTACCAAATAAAAACCGGATGGACTCACTTTCAAGGCTTCAGAGCGCCATACAATGCATTTGGAAGCGGTGGTAAGATAATTTTGAAAATGAAGCTTGTATCATCCGAGCGAGGATACGGCAAACGAGGGCAAAGCTGGCAATCCAATTACCGTTCCAAGTCAACTTTCTGCCAGTGCCTTTCTTATTGGTAGGTGATGCCCTGATCCTTTCTATGGCCGGTAGTTCAGCCTTGGTCAGCCTGCAATTGCCAAGTGTGTCACGTTCTCTCCGAAAAGCTACGAATGGACGGAGCATCAAACTGTAGATGTCGCCAACCAATCGAGTGGCGTGTGGTAGCAACAACAATGAGGACGCAAATGTTGTCTCATGGATTATTAAAAGTAGTTTGCTTCTTTTGCTCCTCAAAGCATGAAATGAGTAGCACGAATTAGCAGTCAACAATAACATACTAGACTAATTATTTTATCTATCTAGTTGGGAAGAATACCCAGCCTTTATTTTTTGGGTGTCATCGATATCGTCTCTGCCCCTAAATATTTTTTCCCAGGAGCTTGGAACAATGCCACAGACAACCATATTGTAGACTTCAAGCAAACCTGGTTCGATTGACATACTTTTGTTGATGCAAATGTTCGCGCCATCCATGACCAGCTCAGGCAGCAAAATGGGCAAAACATTGTCCTTTGGCTTGACATTGTACTTTCCTCTCTTCTTCTTGGTGGTTTTTGCAATCAGTTCTGCCTTCACCTTTTCAAATTCTGGAAGCTGATAAACCTGAAGGCGGTTTGTGAACACTTCATTTTGCTGCTTCTTGTTTGGCATGAATCTCAATATTCTAGCCAATTTCTTGTGAACTATATGACGACTCTCCATAGATTCTTCTGACAATATTCCATACATTTTGAAATGAGTAACAAACTGTGGGATATGCCAAGCCATATCATGAAGTTTTGGAAAGACGCCCTGTTTGGGAAAGATATCCAACCATTTGAAGAACACATGGTAACAATACCCCTTCAGTTCATTGAGCTTTTCATCATTCCACTTTTTTTGGGACTTGAGGAGCTTGTTCATCTTGAGCAAAGGTGTGGCTATCTCTTCTGAGCCCTCCATTGCTTTTGCAACCATTTCATGCTTACCATCACCCGGTTCGTATGCACCACAGACCATTGCCATGATCTCGGACCATTTCTCAAGCATCAATAATCCGTGAGCATGTGACAAATCCATTCCGCCAAATTGTGGATTGAATTTGGGACTTGGGCTTCTTTGTACCGTCATATTTTTCAATAGCTTTCAGTAAGGCAACTGCGCCGTTGTGGAGTCGGAGATTTTTGCCGCATTCACGGACAACGGGTTCTTTCTCAGCAAGCAAACTAGCAAGTTGTGCTTGCATGTAATGCACACAATCATCCGTCGTTGATGCAAATCTTCTGCGAGGATCCTTCGCTCGTTCGACGTTAATTCTTGTGCTGTCAATGTTTGCTTGTAATTTTTTGATTTTCTGTTTCAATGTAGTAAGCCGCCTTTTGGTGGTGGCCTTTATTTGCTTGCACCGCCCCTGTGCATCGGCCACTTTTTCCAACCATGTCACTGTTTCCGGATTCGTCTTGAGTGCATCAATTTTTCCCAGTCTCCCATCTATATTATTCTTGAAGTGGTTCTCTAAGCCGGCCCCATTATGCAGGGCTCCAAAAGTTTGTTTTGAGGGATGGATATCAAGAAGTGGCTTGTTGATTACACATCCATGTCTTTCTCGAATGTCTCGTAATTCATCTTCAGAATATGTGTTGTTCCCGTTGTTGGTATCTTCCTCAAGCTTCTGAAACATGATTGAATTTGAGTGTTCTCCACAGCGGGAGGGATAATCTTTCCACCCAGCTTCAACTTTGGCTGCTAATCGCTCGTTCTCGAGACCGTGTTCTTTGGCATACTGTACCATCCAGTCTGGAAAGTTCGTCTTATAAGTGCTTTTTGGTTGGGTACAGAAGATACAGTTCACTCGCGCTGTCCATCATGCCCATAGTCGCCCAGGAATTCTTCTTGTCACAGCTAACAAATCCAATTACCTGTTTCAAGCCACAATCGATCAGTTCATCATTTGGTTCCCGCCGTTGAATCGGCTTCTCAAACAAGCCCACAACCAAAACCTTGTCTTGTTGGCCATCACCATCGACATCAGGATTGTTCAAAAAGATACGGAATCCATAGTACTTGTTGTTGCCATCATAAACAAGCTGTAGGCGAAGCCCGTTGGATCCATTTTCCCATTCATCATCCAGCTTCAACCCGATGCATCCCATCCCAAGAGATGGCTCTTCTACCTCTCCATTAGAAAAGAATTGTTCCTCATCGTCGGTCCTTGCTCTATCATGGTGGGTCAAGTTATAACCCTCCACGTCTTCCTCTTCTTCAGTCGTTCCATCATACTCATCAGAGGAATTTTCATCTTTGTCGTCATCATCAATTATGCTTGTTGCGTCATCCAAGACATACTCCTTTCCTTGACATTCATCGGTGATTTCACTGTCGTGAAAAGTTGAGACACTTGAAATTGACTGCTCTTCATCGCCGTTATTGTTGTCATCCTTCTCATTCCAGGTACAAGTAGAGGATGCATATATGTCTTCTTCTGATTCATTTTCAAAATTTTGAAAATTTTGAAAATCTTGCGATGACGTCACCACCTTGAAGTCTGGTTTCGAGAAAAAACTGGCTTCACAATGTTCAAGCTTCACATCAATTTCCGGAAGCATCGTCTCATCAGTTGCACTTTGACGATGATCTGCAAACAAATTAATGACGATACATTGGCTTTCGACAATGTTTCCTTCGTTTTTGTCAATTGAATTGACCGTAATAGCAAACAATTTGTTATCCAGGAGCAATTGCAGAAATCTTTGTATCGGAGAACCCTCCTTCAAAAATGTCTTCTCCATATTCCCATAGCACTCCGCTGCATTCTCGTACATTGCTAGGGTTGTAACATAGTCACTGCAATTCCCCATGATTCGGTTCAGAATTCGAAGTAACATGGATGTTGCCAATTCATCTTTGTCAGCGCCGACTGCAACAACAATTTTGTCCAACAATCTCGAGAAGTGGTCTGAATGCATGAAGTTGCCAGACAGAAATGCTGCCTCCACCTGTCGTTCCAGAGCCCGAAGTGGCGTTGCTAGATACCAAGAGAGTTGTGGCTTCACTTCTTTGCTGGCGTTCATCTCCAGGGGTATCATCTCAGCCTCAATGCGCATTCTTGAATTCTTCCCAATCTTTGACAAATACTTCTTCAGTTGAGGCGGGCATCTCGTATTTCCAAGGAGATTGCGTTCCATTCGATCAATCATTACAAAATATTGGCACTGTCCACAATGGATAACAGTAGTGCTAGCTGTGCTTCGGTCCACTTAAAGTCTTCCTTGTGCAAAAGTATAAGGTCCTCGAACTTTCTATAAACCAACTTCAGCAATGCTTGTTGTTGGGCAATATCTGAACCCACCAAGCAAGCAACAATATTCTTCATGTGATTGGCTTTCTTATTCTTGGCCGACTGCGTCAAGGCAGTGAAGTCTTTTGCTGGCTGAGATAAGAGGGCGTAATGCTTTTCAATCACTCGATTCTTCGTATTTTTGAAACTGAGTTTTGAGATTTGTTCTTGTGATGTCTTTGATTCCTCCAAAGTCTTACTGGTGATAAGATGGCAGAGCTCATTTATTATAGAACTCCTATCATTCTTGTCCATTGCGAGTCTCTTGCAAAAGATTTCCACAACGAGTTTGTCTTCCTTGTGCATGGTTTCTTCCGGCGAAAGATCCACTGCCACTTCAGGTGCATTTTCTTCTTCAATCCAAGAGATACCCGAGTCCCCACTTTCAGAGTTGTTGGATGGTACGATATCTTGGATACCTATCAGAAGAGCGGCAGGTGACTTCGTTTCAATCAACAGTTCGCCGCTTTCAGAGTCATTTGCTGGCACAAGATCTTGGATTGCTCTCGGAAGAGTGTCATCTGTCTTTACTTCGATCAACAATTTGGCGCTTTCAGAGACGTTGGTTGGCACAATATCTGGGATAGCTCTCAGAAGGGGGCCAGGTTTGAGCTTTCTGAGCTGGTTGTCGGAGCAACCTGCCACTGAACGTATGGCGAACTCTCTCTTTGTGCTCCGTGAACACAACGCATCGATTGCAAACAAGAACATCTGCATATTGATATCCCATTTAGAAGGCTTTGGTTTTTGTCCAAAGACGCACTTGAAAAATGGATCACTTTTGCTGTAAACGTCATTCAGATACTGAGGCAAGGGGTCGGGTTGTTTTGATTCGCTTTCAGGTCTGCATTTCGCTGATAATGTGCACTTTTGCATGAAGGTGCGCATTAGTTCGGTTGTTTCAATGCTATTGCTGTTTGATGAATGAAGGGAGAGGAATTCTTTGATTGCCCGAGTGCAAGCATCCTTCATTTCCTTGCTGGAGCAATCTTTGCAAAAAGCCGTTGCAAGAAGTTCCCATGGATCCACATTGTAATCAGATGGGAGACCACACAATAAATAAGCAAGTGCACAAAGGAATAGGCGTATACAAAGAAAGCGGGTAGTATCCAATCCCCTTCATGTGAAAATTGGTTCTTTAGATTCGGGTATGTGCGACACATTGTCTCTTTTAGAGACTGTTCTTGGTATTCGTTGACTAAATGAGACTCGAAAGGATGTGGTTTTCTTTTCCTAACAGCAGTTTTGACTGGTCTCCATGGCAATGATTTCAGGAATGCTTCAGCAAAACTTGCCATTCGAGCTTTGCTTGTATCAGCTGATGTGCTCATCTCTCCTTCAATGTCATCATCAATGTAGTTTTTGAAGCTAGCACTAGGTTGAGCTGTTTCTTCATTCGGTGTCACTTGGGGTGCTGGGGCTCCTTCATGTCCATCTCCCGTATTGAAAAATCTCGTGTCAACAGTTGGTACCTTTCCAGCATCTGGTGTCACCACTGTTTCCCCAACACCATCACACGATGTACAGCCAACTTCAATTGATGACATACAGGAATACCTTTGTTTGAAGGGAAGTCTGAAGCTTCATTCAAGCTTTCTAGCTCATCGATTTGCAACTCAAAGCTTGCCATCTTGCGGGTTAAAAATTTGAAGGCTCAAAGAAATTTCCAGATTTTGTGGGATATCAAAGACACGCCATCCGCGCAAACATTATTTTTATTTTATATGTTGTACCGGTTCTCTAACCCGTTTGGTTGACTCGTCCGACCACACGCTAAATAAACTTCATTTCAAGAGGTATTCGGTGCGTTAGACTCACTAGACTCAAATATATGACACATACGACTACTTCCAAAAAAACGGGATGGATCCCGAATACCATTCCCGGTTTGATCCACTGTGATGTGACATGACGCGGCAGTGACGTGAGTGTCGATCATGCGTAGTATGAAACGCAGTATGTCCAAACGAGTCATCACATAGAAAGGTGATCAAGAATGAGAATCGTGAGAATTTGTAATATGATCCTGAACTTCAATTGAGAGTCTCACTATCGATTGAGTTCTGGCAAGAATAGTATTGTGGACATTGAGGTCCAAGCAAGTATAGGAAATAATAAAGTAAGACCTTTGATTGAATAAGACTACTGCTTATTCCAGAGGCTGAGGCCCAGAGTCGCTGGTGCCCAAAGGCAGACCATAGCCAACGTAGATTCAATCTCAGGGGCTGCTCATTGAAACAGACAGGGCGTTGAGGCTCCCATTCAGGTCTGTAGAGCAAGTCCATCTGACACTCAATTGATAGTGAGGCTATTTATAAAAGAGACAATGACGCGCCGCAACCAAAGCACAAGAGGAGTTCGCGGCGGCAATCGATTCGGTGGAAATCGCCAAACGAGTGGCAATTCACAGAATGCAAAAAAGAAAGGAAAACGATCGCCCAAGTATCATCCGAGCGACCCAGATTTTCCTTATGCCGATGTAACACGGAGCCTCATCGAACGAATTGGAATGGAGGGATTGGAGTATCCTCAGATTATGATATCTTCCATTAAAGAATTGAATGAGCCAGACTGGGATGGTTTGAAACCCAAATTGGATTTAAGTGGTCAAGAAGACAAAATTGAGAGAGAGGCAAAGAAGGAAGAATTGAAAACGGAGAGTGTCGAATATCATCGACAAAAGCGATACTGGAGCAAAGCGAAGTGGCATGTGCATTCGCTGATTATGGAGTCATTTGTTACCAGTAAAATTAAGGACAAGATTCTACAGGAGGTCGATTACAATGAGAAATCAAGGGTGATCCTATTGAATTATTGAGACGCATCAATAAATTTATGACGACCAGTGATGTGACAGACTGGGAACCCATTACATTGTGGGAAGCACTACAGAAGTGGGTGAATTGTCGTCAGAAAGGAAATGAAACGGTGATTGAATACTGTAAACGATTTGAAGAATGCACAACTACAGTATTATCTTTCATGGGTGATTTGAGGCTAGCAGTGTTTGCCGCGAAAACGACCGCATATCATGAAATTGAAAACAATGCTGACAAGATTTATGGACCAAGCGCTTCAGTTCTTAAAGGCAAGACTAAGCGTCCTACCCCGGAAGCAGTCCGGGATGATTGGGTTGAGATCCCATGTGAATTGTTGGTCCACAAAATTGATTTGAATTTGCATCTGGATATTGCATTCATCAATAACACATTCGGATTGACCACAATTGATGGTAGTATCCGATACCAAACTTTTGTACCACTACAAAGCAGGACTGCGGAGTTGTTGTATGACGCAATCGATCACGTATTGCGCATTTACAACCATGCTGACTTTACTATCAAGACTATCTACTGTGTTGGTGAATTTCAACCAGTTTTTGATGATGTTAAAGATGAATTATGCAAGCCAGGGGGAACACGATCCCACGGCGGAACAAAACAACCAACATATCAAGGCGTTGTTCCGTGTCCGATACCATCGCATGCCGCATAAGGCCATTCCAAGGATTATTACTGAAGCTATTGCCAAACGAGTTGCACAGACTTCCAACTTTTACCCCGCCAAAGGGGGTATTTCGGCTTATTACAGTCCTCATATGATTTTGTTGCGACGCCAAGTTGATTACTCAAAAGAATTCGTTGCTGAACTTGGGTCGTATGTTCATGGTTATGGCCATGATACTCGCAGTGATCATCGTTCACGCACTATTGAAGCGATTTACTTGGGACCAGCTGATAATATGCAAAAGGGTCACAAGCTGTATGATTTGAACACAAAAAGAGAGGTAACTAGACCTCGAATCACTGTGCTCCCAATCACTGATCAAGTGATCAAATTGGTTGAAGCCCATGCTGCTGAGGAAGGCGTTACAGATTTACAAACCTATTCCAGACGCAATGGAGAAATAATTTTGGATGCTGATCTGCTCGCAGGAGTGGACCCAGATGAACTGTGGGACGAAGACTATGTACCTGCAGATATTGAGATTCCACCTGTCAATGACATGAATTTGCGCAAGAATGATGCAATCTCCGATGAAGAACTTGAAGAATTAATCGAGGATGCAGCCGAAGATATATTGGAATCTAGAAGAATTGATGATAAGAGACAACACAAATATGATGAGGCAGATAGAACTGTCGACCGCATGCTACAAAGAATTAAAAGACGTCAAGAAGAAGACGATGAAGAGGATATGGATTTTGTGCAGGATCAGCAACCTGAAAGCGATATTGAGATGGATATCGATGATGAAGAATTAAAAGATATGATTGATGAAGTAGCCCGTGAGTTGGATAGATTGAGCCAACCCATTGAAGAAGAAACAATGTTCAGCGTTGAAGATGATGACGATGACTGACAGAATTGTATCAAGAACGGGTTTGTGATTCGGACCTATACGATTCAATCATCAGCGGTCTTATGGGTCCTATAGTAATTAGTAGTAAAATAGATATATGACATGTCATCGGATGAGAGCGTTGAGAGCCACACATCAACGCTCGTCAATTCCCAATCGACTCATCGCGTCGTGTTTTGTTTACCTTGAATTGATTATCTTATCTTCTATTGTAACTTCGAGCGTTCCCCAAGAATAATTAAATTCTGTCAGATTAACAGTCGCAGTTACGCACCATCAGCTAACTGCCGCCGTTTTTCCCACAGAAAAACGACCTCTGCTTCCTTCAGAAGCACATTTACAAGCTTTTGCCACTTCATCGGCATTTCGGCCCACCGCAACACCCAAACTTGCGATCTGGCCCAGTCCTTTCCGACACCTACAGTCGACGACCAGAGT